CGCAAGGGCCTGTATTAGCGGCAATATCTCCAGCAAGGAGGATACACAAAAGTAGATGTAAATTTTTGTGTTTTATCTCAAGTTCCAAGCCTTACCGGTATTTACAAGCGCAGTTGGATTTTCTTAAGATATTGTCTCGTGTTGATGTCCAAAGTAAACAAAGTTTATCAGGCATCGTTGTAAGTTCAGAAGCGATGAAAATATTCTTAGATGTTGGTGTTTCTTCGAAGCGCTCAAGTTCAGGTTTTGATCTTTTAGCCAACCAAATGATTAGGAATAATGTGAAAAGCCAGATGACATATGAAAAGCCATCAAGTTTACAATTGAGAACTACTATTCTAACTGGGAGTTTTCTCTCACAATACCACATCCTTTGAATATTTATGCATGGGATGATCAATTAGTCATCCATATACACCACGTCGGTATCGGTATCGTTTGAGCATTTGCGGATTTGCCACCGAAAAGGAAGAACGGCGCTGAAATTTTTTGGTGATCCAAGTCACACGTGTCGCAGCCGAACCCGGTCTTTGGAATTTAACGAAATGCCTTGCTTACACAGAAGCACGATAACGCTCACCATACTATTTGACTTGTCATGGTATGTCTAGGATTGATGTGAATTAATCGTCCTCCTCAACCGGCTGTACTTGGAATCAGGTATCTATTTGTTGTCTACCGCATTTAAGTGGGTCGTCCCCGCGAGTTTCGAGCCTATAGTAAGTTTTCGTTGGTATCACGTACAATTTGTTACAACGGCATTTATATATTACACATCGCCTTGCGACCACTGCAGATTTGCAAGCAGATAAGGGTCTAAAATAGTCTAATTGTTAACGTTCAACCTGTATTTTCCGCATCTGCATGCATGTGTTCGTATTTTCCACACATTTTCTTAGGTACAGGTTTTTAAGTCATATGTGTTGTATTCCTTGTCGAGTTTCACTGGCAGTTAGTTGTATTTGCTCGTTCGTTTCTATTTAAACGGATCCGTATTAATACGGCATTTTAACGAGTTCAAATGCACAAAGCCTAACGTTGCCCATGGCATATATTTTGTTCTCTCGCGGGGTTTCAGCGTTTCCTAGGCAGCGTTTACACTGTACCGTTTTCGTAGCGTTCTCGTATTGTTCTGAATCCTCAAGGGAACGCAAGACAATAGTCTAGTTCTCTCGAACAATACGAGAACGCTACGAAAACGGTACAGTGTAAACGCTGCCCTATTGTGCGGTCTGGCGAGGTGGGTACACTAAACAAAACCCTACACATGTTTACGACGTGTTCTTGCTGGAGATGCGTTCTGGAAACGTGTACTCCGCCGTGTGACTGGGTATATGCGTTTCAATGTATTAGCTTAAGCTTTTGGGTCCATAGTAGCCTACGCGTGTTGTTTATTCTCAGGTGTTCATAGTTGTTTTGGATGCCACACCGTAGTGTGTTAGGCAGCGTTTACACTGTACCGTTTTCGTAGCGTTCTCGTATTGTTCTTAATCCTCAAGGGAACGCAAGACAATAGTCTAGTTCTCTCGAACAATACGAGAACGCTACGAAAACGGTACAGAGTAAACGCTGCCTAAGTCACTGCTTTTGCTCCTCCAAAGACCAAGTGTACTTAGGCCTACAATGTGCATGCTTTGTTTTCCTTTTGGCGACCTGTGTTCTATTTTCCTCTTGGCTGTGCATGTTCTGTCCTCTATCTCGTGGTTTTCGAAGTTATTTTGTTTTATTTTCTAACTGTTACATTCGTTTGGAGTCTTTCTGTATGCATATAGTCGTTTTTCATGGTCATTAGGTTTGTTCGTTCATGCATGCATGCATGCATGCATGTTTTGTTTGCCTCTATATTTACTGCCGAGTATCTTTTTAAGGTTCAACATTCCCGCATATTTTAACTGGCGTGGGTTGTATTTACTCTTTTTTCGTTTTTGCAACGACGCCGTTATATCACGGCCACTTTTCGAGTTTTTTAACCCTCGTTTCGGTGTTTTTTTTGCTGGTAATCTTTTTCAGATTCCGCTTCATTATTTGTCAACTCGGTTGTTAATCGCGTTTTCCTAATGTACGGTCTGGCGAGGTGGGTACACTAAATACGCCCTATACATGTCTACGACGTGTTCTCGTGTTCAGGCGCGTGCTGGAAGCGTATAATTCCCAGAGTTTGACTGCTTTCATAAGCCTATAAGCGTTTTACATTTTCTACTGCCATTGTAATGTTTGTTTGCACATATATTTACTGCCCGGGTATTTTTTAAGGCTTTCCACATTCCCTAATATGTATATCTATATATATATATATATTCATCAACTTGCGTGGGTTGTTTTTACTCGCTCGTTTTAAAACGATGCCGTTATTTTACGGCCATTTCGAGTTTTATTCTAACCCTCGTTCAGGTGGTTTTTGGCTGGCAATCTCTTTTAGGCCTGTTCTAAACGTCACATTTTACATGTGCCGAATGCATTCAAAACAATAGATAATCAGCTGAAATGCCTCATTATCCATTGGCATTGTTTTGAATGCATTCGGCGCATGTAAAATACGACGTTTAGAACAGGCTTTGATTCCGCCTCATTTTTGTCAACTCTGTTGTTATCGCATTTTTCCTAATGTGCGGTCTGGCGAGGTGGGTACACTAAATACGCCCTATACATGTCTACGACGTGTTCTCGTATTCAGGCGCGTGCTGGAGACGTATAATTCCCAGAGTTTGACTGCTTTCATAAGTCTATAAGCGTTTTTCCCCCCTTTGACTGCCATCGCAATGCCGTTTGTGTTATTGTTTTGGGACAGGCAATTTTTCTACTTTGTCGTTGGACTATTGCTTTTGCCTTTTTACTATATTGCTTTCGGTGAAGCAACATTGTGCTACCGTATATTGCATGCTTTTGGTATGGACAATGCGGTGGAATTTTTTGTTTTTGGTGAAGCAATTTACCTTAATTAATTTGTTGCTTTTGGTAAAGCGAATACCTTACTTTGACTTGTTGCTTTTGGTGAAGCGCATGTCCTTAATTTGTTGGTTTTGGTGAAGCAAATACCTTAATTTGACTTGTGGCTTTTGGTGAAGCACATGTCCTTAATTTGTTGCTTTTGGTGAAGCGTATGTCCTTAATTTGTTGCTTTTGGTGAAGCACCTACATTAATTTTAGCCATTCGGCTTTTGGTGAAGCCTATGAACTTTTGTCCTTTGTTTTTGTCGTGCGCGTATGTTTGAACTATTTGCTTTTGGTGAAGCTACTACATTTAATCTCTTGCGACCTTTGGAGTTGCATTTTTCACTTTTGTAAACCAAAATTCTTTAGTTTGGCAATTATTATTTTTGGTGAGGTCCCTATCTTTTGCCCTATGTTTCCGTGGCGTGCAATATCAGCAGTGTGCATCCAGGCGAGTGACAGTGTGGCCATTTCAAGTAAAAATTCACGATAATCAAGTGATTCGTTTGTTATCCACTGCTTTGAGTTAATGTTACGCGACGCACACATGTCTTATTTACAAACGAGATCACTTCTAATTTTATTTTAATGCTGCTTGTATTGTCCTAGCTGTTTCACTGAGTTGTTCGTACATGTCCCATAAGTAGCACGTTTTTTGTTTTTGCGGGTCGCTAAAATTAGAGCTTGCCATTATCTTCAATGGATTACCATACGGTGTTATGTTGGATTTGCATTTGACTGTACAATTTGTTTTGCTCTATTAGTTAAGCCTAGTTTCCATTTGGTCGTTAGTTGTCGCTGGCACGACAAGTAGCTGATGTAATAGAGTGTCTACAAAACTTTACAAAACTCTGCAATCATTAAGACTGATTTGCATATAACACACGAAAAGACTATTATTATATTAGACTATTTCACATCTACCGCTTGTCGTGCCAGCGACAACTAACGACCAAATGGAAACTAGGCTTTAACATTCACCGAAGCACGTAAACGAACGTATATTCAGTTATGTTAATTTGCAAACGTAAGAAATTGAATTCTGATTGGCTCCACATGTAATATGTGTAAATGAGACCATAGATATGCATATTGTTTGTAAAATGTGCGAATTCTAAAGACTTTATCATGTTGTCAGTTAATCACAATTTCGATTTGAAGCTACGTCGACATGCATGCATGCATGTGTAGTCGTGTAGATCACTATAGAGTCTTGAGATTTCCTAACGTACATTTACGTACTATATATCGCATCGTGCGAAAATATGTTTGCATATACAAAGTTCTCATTCTCGTGCAGACATATGTCCAACTGTTTGCACAGAAAATATTTGAATCTTAAAACTTCTCCAGACACTAAGAGTCACAAGAGAATACATTAATTAGTCGTTCAGCCTTCAAGGTCAAATCCCAAAAACAGACTGGCCATAAAAAATTTTCTAGCGATCCATTTTCTTCTATCGATTTTAAATTAAAATCGTTTTACTCTGGCTCGCCGTGTTTATATGCATGCTTCAATCGGCTGAAATATCGTTGATATGTACATGTCCTCGCTATAAATCTCGTAATGTCATGATTCATGAACGAATTTAAACTCTTCACAAATATGTTTGCCTTTGGCTTTGCCTTTGGGAATCGAAAAATTTACGAAACATACTGTATTGAGTAGCGCAATGACAATGTCTACAGGGTGTATAAAAAAAAGCGCAACCTCGGAATTTCCCAAGACATCGACATTGTTTTAAAGACAAACGATTTCAGGCGCCTGGGAATTTAAAATAGCATAACTGTCAAAATTACTGCACACGCGAGTGCATAAAGCAAAATTTATGCATTTATTTAATGCACAACAACAGTAATATGATCTATTAGCAATTCGATTTCAATTCCCAGGGGCCTAAAATCTTTTATGCTTAAGAATTGCAAAGTGATTTCTTAGGAAATTCCGAGGTTGCGTTTTTTCCGAGGTTGCGTTTTTTTTATAAAAAAAAACGCAACCTCGGAATTTCCCAAGAAATCGACATTGTTTTAAAGACAAAAGATTTTAGGCGCCTAGGGAATTTAAAATAGCACAACTGTCAAAATTACTGCACACGCGAGTGCATATAAAGCAAACTTTATGCATTTATTATTAAATAAATGCATAAAGTTTGCTTTATGCACTCGCGTGTGCAGTAATTTTGACAGTTGTGCTATATGATTATTAGCAATATGATTAATAATATTTTAATATGATCTATTAGCAATTCGATTTCAATTCCCAGGGGCCTAAAATCTTTTATGCTTAAGAATTGTAAAGTGATTTCTTAGGAAATTCCGAGGTTGCGTTTTTTTTTATACACCCTGTGGTATAGACATCTGGTGCAATTTTGCCCTTTGGGAATTGTGTTTACTTTCATGCAAATTCATATACAGTACAGCATATGATATGGCACGAGACTGTCGAGTCATCAAATGCCATTAAAAATGAACTAATTTTTCGTGTACAAACAGCGGCCAGGTCGACTTCCAAAGTTATATCAGTTAACATTCTGCGGATATTCTGAGTTTAATCAACTAGGTAAAGAATGGCATGCATCAAGCGTGCCAGTTTTTCAGGGAATGAGCGAGACGTCTCGAGTTATAACATCTCATGCATGCCGAAATTTCGCGTTTACGTTCAGTACGTAAGCAATCGTATGTAAATCACCAACATACTGCCAACTTTCGTGCGAATAAATTATGCCAAACGTTTATCCAATAAGAGCTTGCTATTATACGGTTGAGAACGGATTGAGTGCTATCAGCCAATAGGGAACTGTAGTTTTGACGATTGTTTCGTTCCGTAATGAGGCTTTACGTTCGTTTACGTGCTTCGGTGCATGTTAACTATTGAAACACTGTATAATTGTTTTTCTTCTATCACTCTTGGTGGAGCGATTACGTTTGCTTTAAATTAACTCTGCTTACGTATTGTTTTTATTTGCGTGACGCGAGAAACGATATGTTCTTTTTGAGCCTTTGTCTTGTTTATCTTCGCATCAGCTGCTTTCAGTTAGGCATTTTGTAGGCCCATACATTTGCTTAGTTATAAGCGGCGTTATACGCCAATTTTTATCGGGTTTTCTCGTTATATTTGCCTACCTTTGGTATTTCATTTTTCGATACCTTCAAGGGTGCATTTCTTTTCGGTTTGTTTGTTCTTATTGTCCTGTGGTTTTCTGCCTAGTTTTAGACGCGAGCTTGCTCATTATTCTGTGGGCATGGTGTAGATATACTCAGCGGATTTGTTTGTTTGCGGATTTGAGGCCCATCAGTGTTATTCTTCAGGGCCATTTTTAAGGATTTTCCCGTGGGGGGTATTTTTTGAAAAGGGACCTTTCTGTGAGATAATATATTTATTAGAGGGTATAGCAATGGCGGGAGGCCATGTGTGTGGCCGACATACCATGCATGAATAGGGATGTCTGGGACTCTGGGGGCATACTTGCCCCAGAAAATTTTTGAAATTTGAAGCCCGGAAATGCAATTTCCTGCATTCTGAGCATCCAAATGCAGAAAAACGCACAAGAAGTTTATGCAAAAACGCACAAGAAATTAAAAAAAATATTAACCATAATTTATCATTTACTTATTAATTTAAAGGGGAATAGCAATAGCCGAAGGCCACATGTGTGGGGGATACTCTCGCAGAAAATTTTTGAAATTTGAAGCCCGGAAATGCCATTTCCTGCATTTTGAGCATCCAAATTTGCTCTAAAATTTATGCTAACTATATTTGTAATTGAAATAAAAGAAGGAAAAACCGCACAAAAAACAAAAGATAAAGCCTAAAACTTACTTTCCATTTATCTATTTGTTATTCTTCGCTGGTTTGTTTGTATAAATTTAGGGAAAAGTGTTATTTTCCGCTGGCTGAGGCACGAAAGAAGCGGAAAATGTCACCACACACTGGTGGGGGCCTGATGAAATCAGGGCATTACAGGGTGGTGCAGGTTATTTGAGCATATTTTTGTTGTTGCTCAGCGTGGCTTGACAGTATCCCACCCACCCAGCCCTTTTATGTTTATTAGTAGAGAGTAGGGGAACAGAACGGCTTTGGATTGGGTTTATGTTATTATGTACTTGTTATAGTAATTATGTAGCGAGCAATTGTAATGTATGTTAGTTTTAATAAATCGGCTGACTGCGGCGGCTCTGAAATGTGTGTGAGAAGGGACTGGGGAGGGCAAAATGTGATTTTGTTAATTTCATGGGGAACTGGGGTTAACTTGTATGTTAAAAAAGGCCCTGTTATTCTTATTTATACGTTGGGCCGTGCATGGTTTAATAGTAGTTTTTGGTGAAGCATGAATGCATTTGCAGTCGTGTGCTTTGGGTGAAGCTGTTTGTTTTTGATCCGGCAAGACTATCTTTGTGTTTGTGTTCATGGGTGCAGTAACGCGTAAGATCAGTCTTTGGTGAGGTACGATTTAATTTGTCATTAGATACAAACGCTCACTTTGCGTGACGCGAAGTGGATATTCCTTTGCTGGGGCAAGCTTTCATTTGGTTATTCGAAACAAAATCTCGTTTTGGGTGCAGTGCACGATATGCTTTGGTAGGGCAAGATACCTCATTTTGGGTAAAGCAACGTGGAAATGTGCTTTGGGTGCCAGGCATGCAACATTCCATTTATAACTTAAGACATTTATTGTGCGTATTAAGACGCTTTTGGTGATGTAACGTGCATGTTTTCACGATCTTGCTTTAAGAGCAACCTTTTAGCTTTTCATCATTTTCCAAGGGAGGGTTTTTTCTGAGTATTGGAGGGAGAGAGAGAGAAGATTCTCGCTTTTGAAGTCTGATCGTCATGAAGTCTTTGTAATATTTTCTGCCTATGGTGCTGTTTAAGGAGCCGGAGTCCGCCGGGGCTGAAAATTATTTATCCCCAATCTGAATTCCCTCAATCAAAGGTATTGTGCGGGGAAAGCGAGCAGTGAGAATATATTACTATTGTCACTGGGAGTTTTCTCTCACAATACCATATACTTTGAATATTTATGCATGGGATGATCAATTACAGTCATCCATATACACCACGTGATTGTCAGACAGTATAAAAGTAGCACAGAATCGGTATCTTTTGAGCATTTGCGGATTTGCCACCGAAAAGGAAGGACGGCGCTGAAAATTTTTTGGGACCCCACCCACCTCCCCTCGGCTGCGACACTTCCGGATCTAGCATCGCCGCACTCTACCTTTGGCTGAAAATTATTTATCCCAAATCTGAATTCCCTCAATCAAAGATATTGTGCGGGGAAAGCGAGCAGTGAGAATATATTACCATTTTGCCGAGAATTTATCGTAATATGATTTTCGCGCGTAAATGACCAAAAACTCCCAGAACTTGCGCGAATAGCGTAATGAAAAGTTCGTTAAGGCCTAATTCCACGACGAGCGAAATGCGAAATATTTTGCGCGAAAACACAGTTGTGCGAAAACTTTCTCTCGAAGTGATTTCCACTGTAGAGAAAAAAATAGCCAAAACACAAGCATTTGATTGGTTTCGCTATTTTGTCATCCAAAACACAAGCATTTGATTGGTTTCGCTATTTCCATTTCGCAACGGAGTAGAAACGAATTCAACTACCCGGCGAAGAGAAATATTTCGCAGAGAAACATTCCAAAATAATGTTGCGCATGCGTTCAACCTTTTCGAGCGAAATTATTCGCATTTCGTTCGTCGTGGAATTAGGCCTTTAGGTAATCAAAATAACGTCACCAAACAATAGTGCTCTCATTTCCTATTGCCTGGAATTCCTTAGATTCGCGGTAAAAAAATCCTCAGATTTAGTAAAAATTTCCTTAAACGTGGGGCAGGCAACAGGGTGGACTCAGTGCTTCCATAACCACTTGTTCAAAAACCCTTTTGCAACCTCCAAAATTCCTTTTTTCCCACAAAATTTCCTTGAAACCCAAACGGTGGAAAAAATCAAGAAAATTCAGGCAAATTTTAGGCAAATGTATCACAGACCCTACGAAAAATCGAGCATCATTACATTGCCTGAAAATTTGGGCAAGCTTTCAAGAGTTCCCTCCATGAAAGTATTTGCTCTACATATATGTTTATGTTCATCCAGGGGCGTAAGGTGCTTGATAATGGTGGAGGGGTTGAATGGCAGAAGGCGCTGAACGGCAAATTTTGAAATTTATAGTCCCTAGATCGCCGGAAATGACATTTGCAGATTCTTCTGTACCTCTTTTGTTAGAGCTATACTATTTATAAGTTGATTTTTACTGGTTTAAGACTTGTAACTGGTATAAGTTACAGAAATCCTTGCAATTTCCTTTAATTTTCGTATTTTTCCTTGCCATTTCCGGTAAATTTTATTTCCTTGTAAATTCCTTGCAAGGACCAATATTTCCTTGCTGCAGGGGAAAATTCTTGTAAGTGGAAGCACTGGGTGGACTTTCGTCAACGCTGCATAAAAATAGTGCGGGCCAGTGTGACCAGATTTGGTAAATTAATTTACTTTTGGTAAAATTTGGTAATTTTTGGGAAAGTTTTGGTAAAATAAAATTTTGGTAAAAGTTTTGGTAAAATTTCAAAAAAATCAAGTAATTTAGTATTTTTTTGGTACAATTTCAAAAAATAATGTCCCTTGTTTAATAGACGTCTTAAAAACCAAAAAAACTTCGAATATAACCACGCTAAAGAACTTCTGTATCATGGCAATACCAGTCTTTCCTCATTGAGGACTAGCATATAGAAGTTTGTTGAAGGATTATGTGCATTTTATTGTATTAATGAATTATTTAGTTGTTGACTGTTGAGTCTCCTGTTGTTATTGCTATTTGTAATAATATCGAGAGTTATGGAAACGTATTTGGATGGCACAGGGTATAATACTTATGGTACCGGTAACCAGTATCCAGAAGTGGGATACTGCATTCTCATGGAAGACACTAGACTTTGAATCCTGGTATCCCAGTTTGTTACCGAGAAAAAATATAAATTTCAGACCCTGTATATAATTTATATTGCTAGCTTTCATATCAAGAAAGGTGTTAGAAATTATGTTTACATGATTATTTGACGGTTTCGTTATGCTGTCGCCATGAAAAAGGCCAAAAAGGGTGTAACACGTGACTACAATGACTGCACGCAGCCTGAAATTTCAAAACGCGGAATTTGCACGTGTTTGGTAAAAAAAAATCCAATTTGGTAAAATTTCAGCACAACTTTTGGTAATAACCGCTGGGAAAGTCTGGTCACACTGGTGACTGCGGGCTCGTGAGCTTTTTCCCGCAATTTTTTCTTTTCGATGTTTGGCGTACAATTTCAGAATTTCTAAGGATGTTGAAGTTTACAGCAATGTGATTCACTGGTATTTGAAAGCATCTGGGTTTTTATTGTTGGAAGTATTAGTTCTAGCCTAACTCTTCAACAACCTAATGACTGTTTTTAAAGCAAAGCAACTGAAAGGAAAACTTATATTTTCATACGAAGAAGATGAGTGGCGATATTTATGTTGGACTGTCTTGAGCAGATGCTTCGAAGAACATGATGTGATCGGACCTTGTATCTTAAAAGTGTGCTAGGAACAGCCGAACAAAGTGGTAAATTTTGTTACCCGGTGTGTTGGGCATCATAATTCACAGAAATAGTACACAGCGGCGTTTAAACTGGCTATGTCTATGAAATATCCTGAATACTTCGTCGAGTTCTCTACCGCCATATGACCTGTAGTTTAATGTGGCCTACGTCTTTGAAAGGGCTTTACTTGGCTTTAATCGACGTGTAAGGTATAACTTAGGTAAGCCAACATTTCTTTGTAATGCAAGCTACATTTTCATATCTTTAATGTGTGAATATTTTTAATTTTGTAAAAAATTAAGCGCAATATGTTCTTGGAGAAAGTATCGAGTGCTTCATATAACGCTCAGATCTTGTATACAGATACGAGTACAGATATTCGTATATTATTCAAAATCTACCCTTTATCACCAGTTTTTTTACTCTTTAATTTTAAAGTATACATAATCCTTGACTTGATAACACGATGATTTACTCGATGGAAATTGGGCAAAAGGGTTTCTACTTTCACGTTCTTATTCCAAAGCGAACACTTCTAAGTTGGAAATGCCTAAAATGGTGAGCGTAGAAACACTAAAGAAACAAAAAAACGACTTCATAACACGAGTAGTTTTGGCAAATTTGGTGTTTGTTTTTAGAGTGCGCTCACGTGCACTCCACGCTTACGTTTCTCGCGCATGCGTAGACGAAAGTCCACCCTGTGGGGGCAGGCACGTTTTTCTAGCACCCCCCTCAGAAAAATTCGAAAATGGCGTGCATACTGTAGGTTATTATTATTATAGCCTTTATTTAAGAAACTTAATTATACATTTAGCAGTACGAGTACAACTTACTGATAACTTCAACAAATGAAATTATATCATATATTATACTAAGACAAGTATTTATAAAACTAGATATACTACGTAAAAACGTCTAAAGATGAAATATTATCCAAACGCATATTCAATTTTAGTAAAAAGACCAGATAAAAAGCTACCACTAAAGTAAACTGCTTTGGTGAAAAAAACAAGGTAGAATACTAAGCCTAAAATTCAGTGAAAAGGCTAAGTATAATCTAAGCTACGAGCGCAAGTCTAATTTTGGCGTTTGAAACGGCTGAATCGAAACCGAGAACAGTGGCAGAAGACGAACAAAGACAAAGTGAATTTCCAGATCGTTGGCGAGGTTCTGACCAGCTTTTAAAAGTTTATTGAAGGCATGTAGAAAATGTTAAATAAAGAAAGAAAACCGGAAGGAAAGCGACAACAAAATATGAAAACTTTATGCTTCGTCTTTCGACTTTCTGTTGTTTTATGAAACACCAGAAATCAGAAGTTCATAAAAATTGCTATGAGAAATGGAAGGCAAAGGTCCGAATATCAGATATATAGATATAGATGGTTTAATAAAAAACTGTTCATTCAAGACGGACATTCAATACGAGCTGACTCGAACTTGGGATTCAATTAACAACATCAAAGACGAGGACATATTAATTGAGTCGAAAGAAATTTCAAGAAAGACTGGAAACCCCTTACTTAGCTCTCTGCGACACAATGCCTATCCACAACACTAGAGCTACAACAGTTACGGCTTACGACTCCCGATGATCAGGGTCATCAGATAAAATAATTTATTGGAGAACTCAACGTAGAGCAGTAGAAGAAACTCAACGATGAGTTTAATGTCAGATTTGACTTTAAGAACATAGATAGCCTTAGAGCTATCAATGCTCTTAATGCAGGTTCAGATACCTACTTGCTGTGAGCTAGATGTGCTACCGAATACTTTCAGCGGTCTCAACATTGACATATCTATCCTCGAACTAGAAATCGAAAGAGCTGAAGTTGATTACCGTCTTGTTCTACCAACAAATCCAAAGAGGCTTGCAAACTTGACCACTTTAATTGCAGTTAAGAACACCATCTCGACATCAACCGCTTCAGTGGAAAGAGCATTTTCCGGAATGAATCGTATCTGCACGAAGCTGCGATCAACCATTCGTCCAGAAAGATTAACTGATCTTTTATGCATTTCGTTAAACAGAGATGTTGTTGATTTGCTGGATTTGGACGAAGTCGTAACAGCATGGGGAAACATGCGCAATAGGTGGTCTAAAGTCATTAAGGTTACAGGACACTCTTTTTGGCGTTTTGTGGAAAATCGCTACTGCGCGCTCAAAATCAGTCCGATTTTCATCAAATTTTCACCAAATGTTCGCCAGTGCATGCAAAATATGGTAAAGTTATAATATTAGCAAACAATAAAATAATGTAAGAATTATTCAGGAAAATCTTAAATCGCGGTACCGTTACGCTTTTGAGTTGTGTTCCTGCTGGTTTTAAGATATATTTATGAAAATATCATTTTTACACAGTAAAATAGTTGTTTATATCGTCATTCTGCTGATATGGCGATTTCTTTGACGACTGCAATATATTTCGGAATTGTTTGAGTGAATTGCTCTTTATTATTAAAATATCCAAAATTAGAACAAAGCCGAACACCATTTTGCAACTGACGTCTTTAGCTATGTCCTGTGAAAATTTGAGAAAAATTGGCTGAAACCCGCATGAGAACAACTCGTTTGAAAATCAGTAATTACCGTAAAATTCTTCGGGAGAAAATTGAATTTGAATATTACATTTTCAATGTTTTTCTTATTGCAGTGAAATGTATTTTATTAAATAACTCTGCGAGTTTTCAACATTTTTCGTTCAAAACTTGGTCAGGTAGTAGAACTAGTCTAATGCTTGGAAACCAATAAAAAATTTTAGGCGAAATTAGCACTCAAAGGTGTTCTGTAACCTTAACTGACTAACTAGTCTAACTGTATAAAATGTATAATGTACTTATTACTAAATTGAGAACTTGAAAAAACTATTCATTATTTCATTTATTTATTAAAAACTTTGTTAGTTTGTTATAGTGTTACTATGATACTATACGATTTTCACGAATATTAAATATTCTAAGGAAGCTACTGAAAGGCTATACAACTATATTATATACCTTAATTTATACTACTATTCATTAATAATTATTAAATAAAGAATAATAATACTTTGCAAGTATACTGTGCGCATTAATTAAACAAGTTACTAAAGTACTAGCAAAGCATTTTGATCAGTTGATCACATGGAAGGGGTCACAAAACAGGAATTAAGGCGATATGCCTAAAATATATACAACAGCCCGGTCAGCCCCAATGCACCCCCCCCCCCCCCCCCCCCC